ATATATATATAATACGGTACACCTCTCGAACCGTGGGCACCATTGTTGGGGGACTTCTTAGATTGACTCCAAGCGCATGGAAAACACTGTTGAGATTTCTCTCGAATCGCTTCTATTGGAGATACTTACCGTGATCTTGCAAGCCTAGTGGATTCAACCAACAATGCTTATTCATTCTCCTATGAGTATCAGATAACCTGGGCAGGGGGGGTGCAGACAGGAACTCAGGCGTAAATTCGAACTCACGAATACTGTGTTCTGAATCATACTGCCCTCGAGTTATCCGTCTGCATTTTATCTGAACATATCTGTGTGACGTCCCAGTTAGCCGAATTTGAGAATAGGTGATCGGATAACTTATCATAGCAGTCAGTATATTTCGGTGAATGGTTCTTGCACACTCGTCAAGGTCACTTCGTAACGAATGTCTGCACAATAAGTGGTAGTTTGCATTAAAAGGAAGCAAAATCAGCATACATCCATCGATAGGAGGGAACTCGGTGGTCGAAGACACATAGTGAACCATAAGAACAAATCAGAATTTACAGATATTCATTCGCAAGTGTAGCCTAACGAGTTCAATACAAATGTGATTATGACTCCATTGAACACCACCGGTTCTCGGTGGACAAATGACAACATGTATATGAAAGTTCGTCGTAATAATTATTTATTTGGTACACAATGCGATAGAAGCAGTGGGTGATACCAAGCGAGTTCCTCTGGGTTTTCGGACTACCCGGGCTGAGTACGATATTTATTTGCGCCCCTCCCAAGGGAGCGCCTCCGAAGATCGACTGCCTTCAACGAACAAATGGGGTACCTCAAAACACGTTCTTTCCCTGCGGAACAGCCCTACGTTTAGAGCGTAGGGCGAACTATTGCCTCCCTCCTAGTGGTGTCTGTTGTTGAAGGAGTCCAATTCAGTTACGACCCCGAGCATGCTGTTTGTCATTGCTAAAGCAACTAAAATGTCTTCCCTTCCTCATTCCTCACACACTGTTTCTGTCTATATTGTCTTATTTTTATTAGGTTTGATGAACTGTTAGCAGACTCGAGTGACGATGAAGCCTTGTCGACTCGTCACGAGAAAGCCCGGTCCATCCGTTCTAATGTCTCAAGTAAACGCAACCAGAAGATAGCTCACTCTACCACTCGAGGGAAATCACTGGTTGAGGAACTGGAGTCGGTGGCTGAGACTTCTGGGCTGTGTCGTAGAGCTCGCAAACGCGTGCTCCGTGGACCAGTTGCTGTGGATAGCAGCAGTGATGAAGACGATGGTCTCGCGTCACGCAGATCAGTTGCCATCCGATCAGAGCGTGGAGGGATCCGTCGAAAGGTACGATTTGTCGACACGACTAGTCTGTCGTCGACCAGTCAGCCCGGCAAAAAACACTTACGAATGACATCGGAAGATAAGGCCGCGTCCGGTCTATGGCTTGTGGAGCAGCCAGATCAAGGCGATGTTTTGGACCTATCTGATCCCAAAGCCCTTGCACGACACACAGCGATCGCAGCGAATGCTGATGCAGCGATGGCCTTGGCAAAGACCCTTCAGAAATCCTACTCTGCTCGAAAACCATCAACTACTCCTTTCCCTGTGGTTGACGGCAAAATCATTGTCGACGACCCCACAGCATCGACCAAATTCGCTAAAGATGAACAAGGTGAGTTGGTTAGACTTTTTCGGTGAATTGTCAATGAGGTTATCGGGTTGCGTATTTCGTAAAGTAGACGGTACTTCACTCAAGCAGTGCATCCAACACTTCAAGCCACTGTTGCTGGGTTACTGTCTGCCAAGAAGAGTGTTATTTTCTATACCTAATTCGAAATAGCGTAAACCTACAGGTGGGCATATGGCATGTAGAAAGAAATGGGGACGTTACGAAGAACCTGGGTGCTGTTTGCCTTCGAAGATGGAGTTCACCTTACCCTCCCTGCGCTTGGCTGGAGACGTTGGAAGATATGGTGATTAATCGATGTCAGTAGCGTCCGTGCTGTCAGTTTCTATGCAGATCGCCTGACTGGATGTCATAGCGGTAGGCACCTCAGTTGTTTTGATAGGCTACCTCTGGGATCCTCTGCTTGTCCCATTTTTCTCTCCATTATAGGACTTTATTCATGTAAATTGATATGGCTGCGTGGCAACGAAACGTGTGCTCTCTAGTATTGCTGTCAGTGACGGTGATGTCATGCTTGTGTGGACAAGGAATTCAACTTTTGGTACTTGGGTGTTTTGTGAACCTGCGCATGTTGTGTAGAGTTGGAATGCTACAAACATTTTTCTGTCTTCATTTGTGGTGTGCAGCATCCGGCACGGTGGCTGCTGGGTGCTGAAACTGGCCCACATGTTAAGGATATTGCATTGGACCAGTGCATTTTCATTGATCTCCATCACTAGTCTGTTCTCGGCAACCTCGTTCTGTAACTGCTTGTCTCCATCCCTATTTGACGAATCAGGCTGGTCCACAGCCTTAGCACATAATGGCTCCAATCGGCATTTCAAGTTATTTATAAGTAGCTCAGAGGAGGAATAGAATTCACCCGATATGAGAAGTCGTCACTCGAGGAGCCAGTCGATACGTGACCGTGTGATATGGTTTCTGTGATTGAAGGATGAGTGCCTAAGTGTGAGTTAATCATACTGCTAATCAGCTGCTCGTGACCAAACGATGAAATGTTCAAGCTACTGTAAAACTCCCTGACACACCTGTACAGTGCTTCTCGGCTTTTCAACATCGATCGACTTCACAAGACATTATCTCAGTTGAAAATTCCAGTGGGTAATGTCATCCTGTTCGTCAGTTCAACAGCTTTGGGAAAACACTACAGTAAAAATAGAATTATGGGATAAGTTGAAATGTTGGTGCGTTCGTTAGGATTCTTGTCTTGCCATAGAGCGACATCAGTTGTCTGCAATTTTTTAGGGTATGCAAACTAGTAAGGACCGTGCGAGGATTCTCCATTAAATGATTCAATGAGGTCTATCTACGAAGGTTTCTGACCTGTTGACTCCATCGGTTCTCTTTATCGCAGTTACCAACGACCATCGTTTTGTTTTGTCCCATCTAGTTATAAGTTTCGAATTGATTGTCGTAAAAAAACTGAGGAGAGTTGGACAGCTGTTTTATCCCATTGCTCGGTATGAGTCTTGCGCGCTGCCTCCTGGGTTCACAGTGGTGAATAGCAGCCTTTTTATTGTCTTGTTCGTCCTCTCTAGTGATCTGGGCAATTGGGCATTTGCCCCTGCATTGTTCACTGCTTAGTGGTGCTCAGCCGTCCGGGCACAATCGTATTCGCTCATCAGACGTTACGCACTTATTTCTATGATGAAAAACTAACTTTTGTTTAAGTGAAACTGGAATCTGTTGTTTTCTAACGTTCATTCATGCGCGCTATTTTTACTCGGGATCTATCGAACCTTTTTTTAATTTTTCATAGACTGGGACCTTGAAGTGAGTGATGAAGAATTCAACAACGCTCCAAATACTTGGAGTGGTCAGAGACAACCGAAATTGAAAAAGAAACCACAGATCCCTGGGCAGATTTATGCTTCGAAGAAAGCCAAAGGTGATATGCGTCGTGCCGGCAAACCGGATCCATATGCTTACATTTCACTAGGATCTGGGTTGGGCGGTGCAGGTAAAACGGCTACGGCAATCGAACGACGTCGTTTGTTGCGCGCCGTCGGAATAGGCAAGCAGAAGCGCTCAAAAAGAATTGGCACGACTACCGGTCCCCTCAGTATTGGACGTCGGAAATCTGGCAGTTCGAAGAGACGCTAAACTGACGCTTTCACATATTCTGATCTGTAAGCTGGTTATTCTGGATACAATGATACTTTTCTTGATGAAAACACTGTCTTCCTTGTCTAAGTTTGGGGATACTGTTAATGACGCAGGATGCAGGTCATTAACCCAGGTCGGTCGACAGTACTGCTTGCATTGATCAACCGTTAGCAGAGCGAAGAAAGATATCGAATGACACATCTTTCTCATAAGAGACAGTGCCTTCAAGAGTTTTCATGATATAAGCGTGAGACAAACTGCCTTACGAAGGGCATAATGAGATCTGTTAGATGAATCGCAAGGGGTGGACATATGAAATGGATAATGAATGAAACATGCTACAGTGACTGCACCAGTTTTCAACCACATGTCAGCTTGAGAAAATAATGCAGCTATTCTGACAGGTCGATTAATCCTCTCCACTACTGTCCTTCCCTCAGTTCCTTGCGTGAGTCGTATGTCACGGTGTTGTCCGCATTGACAAATAAGTGTGACAATTGATACGAATAACACAGTTCTAATTAGGCAGTTTCCTATAACTTTTGAGGCGAATATTCGTACCACTGAAAGGTAACGTGTATTGGGGAGTTCAAAATAATCTTGGAAGTTGTTGTTTAAATAAAACGAGCTTCGTCCTATTTGTCCAGATATCTCATTTTAAAAAAATATCGACGCTCAAATCACCCCACTTCTGAGAGGATGCGAGTGCTCATGCAAGTATTACAATACGGTGTAATCCAAACCCATTTCTGGTCATGAATTTTGCCGCATCTCTTTACAGATGACCATCCTTGAACTCGTCAACCCGCCCCATGTGCATTTCTGAATCATGTACCTCTGAAACATGTCAAAGTAAATCGCTTGTGTGCTCCGGCTGATCGATTAGAATCAGGTTACTAGGCATATAAAACGAAAAAGCAGTGTTACCACCTAAGGACTGCATGACACGGCAGCGTGCAATTGACGTTGGAGCTCGTCAATTTCAACTTTTGTTCGATCCCATCCCAACCAACCTGAGGCGCTATTAAAAGGCAAATTCAGAAGGAAAAACTAAGCAGCGGCGAATCCGTAATGAGGCAGTTAGAAAGCGAGTTTTCGGCTGTGTAACGGGGACTTCCATTGGAGAATGTGTCCAGCACCATAAGCTACGTTGGTTAGGCCATGTATTGCGTATGCCAAACCATCGTTTTCCGGCGAGTGCCGCTTTCCGTGTCCAATTTGGAGTGGCGGGAGCAGGGAAGTGGTCAACCCTTGAGCTGGCAGGGAGAAACGATAGAGATTACGAGACACTTGGGTGCTATCGGTACTACTCACCTTCCAGGATGGGGACCGCCGCGCCTGGTTTGAAACGCTGCAAGATGTGGCTGCTAACCGATGTCAATGGCGTTCTTGTCAGCATCTGTCCAGATTGCCTGGATGAGTGTCTGGAGGTGTATACACCTCCAGCTAGCACTAATCCCTCTCCCCATCCACTTTTACTCTTTTCTTCATAGCAGGGCTTTCAAATAAACAATGGTTGTACGGCAGCGAAGCATCGGTGCTGAACACTGACGTCATGCCGCCCACGACGTTTATGATGAATGATTGGTATATTAGTGTCTGTTTGGACAGAGATTGTTCTTTTAAATAAGAAGTGTCGCTACGTGTGTTTGGGACCAATGGGTTTACGTTTCATTCACATGGGTGCAGCAGTCTCCTTTCCTGATGGAGTAATTTGGAGCTGTCACGAAAAACCAAAGATAGGCAGTTTTCCTAAATGGTCAGCTTCCTAAATATAACTGACAATGCCATTGACCTAGATTTAAAGGTCAATTGTCGGGTCAAATGAGTGACATCATAAGCACAGAAAACAATAGATCCTGCAACGTCATTGGGTTCTCCGTGGGCGAACCTGGTCTGGCCAAAAATACGTTTACAACGAAGCGCACACAACCATTAGTTGGAAAGCGTCGAAATTGAAACAGGTTGAATTTAAAAAGGATAGAGGCCGAAGACCATAAATGGTCTTACGATTATGTGGGGAGTTACAGATAGGCAAATGTGTTCGGATGCTGTTGAAACCTATCACACACTCGTAAAAGCTGTTCAAACACCCACGGACACGACAACAAAGGTGCAAAAAGCTTACGGTTTTATTCTTATTAACACCATCCCCAGTGGGGAACATCGTTGTGTTGTTTAGTGGTTTCAAAGTTGCGATGAGGTTAGAATACTTTCAATTAAGAGCTAAAATGTTAATGGCCCATTTTGAGCTATTTCCATAGAGAGGTTTCGGCATTTATTCGGAGGGTCAATAGCAGAACATCAGAAATGAAAGGTATCACTTCCGATGAAAATTCAATTTGTCGTTGAGTTGTGACATAAAGTTCGATTGCGAAAATCTAGCAAAGTGGAATCGAACTTTATTCGAAGACCCTGTTAAACTATTCAAAAACTTTATATTTTAGTTCGAAGGCAAGTTCTAAAAAGTTAGAACTGGACTTTGCGATCAATAGTGAGGCTCCAGTTCATGCCAATAATTTTCATCAGAAAGTGGAATTATGGCCACAAGGCCTACGAACTTATTAAAGCTTCCGTATTTGGCTTCATAGACCTGTTTGAAAATACCACTTCTACAAAAAGGCATCGCAGTGAAAGCACAAACCCCTTTTAGACTGCATTTCGAAAAGTTAGACGTCCGTGTTCACCAAAACGCAACCGATTAAAATGTTGCCTCTGGATATGTTGTAGATAGGCGGTCATTAGAGGTTAACCACTTTGGCACCATGGTGCATGCAGGTATGTCAAATAAAGTGAACTCGTTGTAACACAGCTTTGTTGGACGGCCACAGACTTTGTAGGTAGCCTGATGACAGCGCGGTCTACAGAATCTGATTTTGAGTGCCTTGCAAAATACATTCTCTAAGTTTTCAGTCAGTGATGGCACATTCCCTCCTTATCTGTACTTTGTGGATGGTAAGACTAAAAAACTCGGGGAAGAGATACATAACAATTCAACACGGTTCAGTCACCTAGTTCGACGGAAATGTGCAAACACAGCCGGATTTATAAAGCATATCTTCAACTCTCTTGAGCCTCTGCTGATTATTGATGTGGATATCAATTGTCAGGTTTTGCTCGACTCCGAACAACCGGGTACTTCAGAATCAGCAGTATTGGCGTCGGAGGTTAAATGTCACACTAAAACATTTGGCACAAAATAGGTTAAAATAGTGAATAGCTTATCGCCGGTGTTATCTCACGTTGTGATGCGAATGCGTTCCATCAATATTAGTTGATCAGCGCCGAATTTCGTGCTGATTTGCTTGTGTGCCTAGATGAGGGACAATGTATGCGTCTTAGCTGCCTTTTCTATACCGTCAGCAAACATAATACGTAGCACACAGCTGTGTAAGGCTCAAGTCTCCAAGTTGGACTCACTTGAACAGGACCTGAAGATGCTAGCAATGCGGTCAGCAAAAGGCAAAGTCTAGTGGCTGTACCGGAGATTTGCTATGGGCTATTGGCGTACAAGTGTCCGGTCTAGTTTACAAAGCTACAAACTATGCTGACATGCATGTCTGAACGTGATTTTCCCGAGTGTTCCAAAAACATCTCACGAATTTCAGTACCAACTAAGCATCATTTCTAATAAATGCCGAATAGCGCACGTAAGTTTTGTTTTTAGAGTACTCTATTATTAAAAAATGTCATACTGTCTCTTTCAGGAGTGGAAAATAAATAATCGTTCAGCTGTAACACCATTTCGGTGCACAGCTGCCATTGCACCCAAAGGAGGCACGAAGGCTGAAATGCCATCAGGTTGTCCAATCCTAGACCGGGGCGGTCAAGATGTCGGGGTTGAGTTCGAACCACGGATCTTGCAGTCAGTTAGGTTACGCCTTAACCACTGAGCTATCTCAAGCTTTCAGGGGTCAAACCTTCGCCGAGGAAATATCTCCGGTCCCCGATGGTGTTAGCTGTGAAGGCAAACGCCGAAAATCGACGGTGAAATTGACAGAACAGTTCCTTGCTACATGGATAGTTAAATATCGAAACAATCAGCGTGCGTCCATGTGATCCACCGATCGCCATCGGTCGCCCGTGCGCGATATCCTGAAGCAGGCAACGAACTCCGAAATTCGTATATCCCTCCGCTAGCAGTGGCGACCAATCAGCCTCACTGGTTTCGGTTCACGGCGTTTGACAACCAAATGAGTTATCTCCACAGATATTAAGCGCTTGAGTTTCGGCAAAAGGGGTCCCTAAATCAATATTCTAATCTTACACAAACCAACATGCTAGGTGCCAGTTGAACGCTACGCGACCTTGGATCATGTAGCTTTGGGTGTACTGTCCACAACCCCTCCGAGTGTATTAGGCTCCTGTATATTAGAAGTCTCGTATATATTAGGCATCCCGTCTGCCTGAGCCCTAGCTTCCGTCAATTCTCCTTACACAATTAAATACAAGGACAACATTGGAGAATACGAAGTTGGTGCAATCAAAGTGCATTAAATAAAATTCTGTACAGAGTCATCGTTATACGCGTAAGTTAGGTGAAACAAGTGAAGAACAATGTTTTGGTTCCTTTAAAGTGCAAGCTCGCTATATGTACAAGCCAATAGACCACACTGTTCGATAAATCATTTGGTTGACGCAGATTGCTTGTCTTCTAACTTGCGTTTGATAAGAGCTTTGAACTGAGCTTGCAACTTAGCTTCACGTTTCGCTCGTTCAGCATAGTTGAAGTGTTCGAGTGCTCTCTTTTCGTCTGCAGAGTAAATCTGGTTTTCTTTGCGCAACCGGACAGCCTCCATTCTACGGTGCCTGCTACCAGACATGACGTAACCCTGGGCCTCAAACTTTTCAATCTCATCTGAGGTCAGACCTATCTCACCACGACGGGGAATGCGCTTTCCCTCCGCGATATATGCAGCCATTGCAGCACCTTCACCAGGAAGCAAGGCGCGCCCGTAATCAAGCGGGAGTAAGTTCGAATGTTCGGAAACTGGAAGTAAAGGTCCCACGAAACCAACCTCTTCTTCCTCCTGAGCTCTTTTTTGTTCAAGTTCACGCTTTTTGGCCT